CCCGATCTCCAGTCAGCGCCTCCACCCGCGACCCCAATCAGGACCTCCCCCTTCTTCATCTTCGTCCCCGTTATCGCCAACCAACCCCCGTCATTCCCCCTTCCTCCTACGCGCCATCTCCACCTCTCCCATCGTGCTATTCCCCCCTGTTGCCTACCCTGCTGTCCCGCGACTTCGCAATTCCCCCGCGTGGAACCCCCCCCCCCTTCCCAACTCCGATTTCCCGCACGATCCCCTGCGCACCTCCATCCCCGCACGCTGCATGCGAGGGTAAATAATGTGCAAGGGCTGGCAGGTTCGGCGTTGACTTGGGGCACAGGGGTGGGCCAGATTGCACACCTTTAGACACGCTGCTCAACCAGATGCTCAGGACGTTGACGCAAAGCAACCACTCAAGAAGGACACATGAGGAGGAAAGGAGACTACGAAGGGAAGCAAGGGAGAGGGTAACCGCGAGGAGGATTAGGGACGCAGCAGCCAGCTTAGCGGCTGCGATGGCTACCGCTGCCTCTACGTCACAAACCTCTTCCCAGTCTTCTTCGTCAGGAGCAGGGCAGGGTGGATCGGTTGCAGTTAGTCAGTCTGCTGGTTTGCAAGTCAGCCAGCAGAGTCCACTCACACCGGAGGATTTAGAAATCCGACAGGCAGAAAAACTTCAGGATGAGCTGCAGCGGCAGTTGGACGAAGCAGCAGAGAGGAGAAGAAGAGCCATACTTAGACAGGCTAGACTAGGAAGTAGAGTGCAAGAGCTAGGCAGACTGGAAGGGCTAAATGAGGCGGCATTAGACCCTGCTGTCTGTGTGCTACGTAGTGCTTTACTATCAGTGGCAGAAGCGCAGAATGTCCAGCAAGAATTGCTGACCGAATTAGTGGCAGGCCAGAAACAAATCCTGGCTGAACTTCGAGCTCCCCCTGCGGGTGCGGGTCCTTCATTGATGCCGCAACCCACAGGGCCATCTTTCTCTCCTATGTTTGGCATATCCCCTCCAGGTGGTTTAGTAGCAACTAGTGGTCCGGTTCATAGAGTCTCAGTCGTACCATCTACGACAGTGGTCACTATAGTCTCACTTTCAAGACAGGCCCAGGTTAGTGTGCAACAACCTGTTTCAGTGGCTATGCAGTCGCTGCAGCAAGCCCCTGGGCCCATGCAGCCTATGCAGTGGATGCCCAAGATTCCTCTGCTGAGTCCTAAACCTTTTTCTAGAGATAGGAAGAAGGATGAGGATTTGGACACTGGGTAAGAACTATGCCTACATATGTGAGGCATAAGCTTACAAGGCCAGAGCGGGAGGATGTAGTTGCTGCGTCCTTTTTAGAAGGATCTGCAACACGTTGGCTGAACTGGTTAGTGCAACAACAGGGCTATGGTCAGAACTTCGATGCATAGGCAAAAACCCAAAAATTGAAAGATTTCGTACAGACTATGTACAGGAGGTGGCATGACCCTCAAGGGGCTCAGAAGGCCACCGACGCGATCAACAATCTTTGTGCCAAAAAGTACAAGAATGTTCGCAAAGTCACAGACGCTGTAGAACGTCTGATCGTAGTACCTGGTGTGCGCTTTGACCCTCAAGTACTCCTCACGGATTATTTGAGATGTCTTCCATCAGAAGTCAAGACGAAACCGTCGGACGAAGCCTACATAGAACAACACGGCTTTGCTACATTCAGCAGGAAGGCCCTACATATAGAGGCCAAGCTAGGATCCGCGCATCTGGTGTAACATGATGGTAGGAAGAGACTCCCCCAGGACTGGAAGAAGAAGGGTCAGTTAATGTTCGTTGACCATGATGGTCAAACGACGGAGACTGATGATTTCCCAGACCTTGGGGAGGTGACAGAGCAGGATGGGGCCAGTGAAACTTCAGATGGGGGAGTCGTGGCACCTATCAAGGAAA